AAAACACAGCAATGAGTGAATAGCTTGTTAAAGAATAATTTCTGCTCCTCAGAATCTTCAGGAAAAATCTGAGCAGTAAATAAGAGGCAGACTTCAAGATGCCTGGTGGGAAAGACCCAAGGTTGTGTTGTTTTATTAGAAGGCACTGTATTGTATTAAATCACATCTACACAGCCAATGGGGAGTATTAAACAATCATGTTTCTTGGATTGGGGGCTTGTTAAATAGGTAAAAGCTGTTATCTTGATCTCCAAACAGGCAAAACTGAGTATGACTCATCTATTTAACATCATCACATCATGAATTCATCAAGACGACATGAGGACAGAGATCAAAGTAGTTACCTATTCATTACAATCCCTTCAAGAGTCAATGCAGCTTGTCCGATTCCCAACAGCCTACTTTTCCCCTAATGAACAATTTATTCTTTCTTTCTTCTCTTTCTTTCCTTCTCCTTCCCTCCCTCCCTCCTTTTCCTTCCTTCCTTCCCTTCCCCTTTCTTTCTTTCTTTCTTTCTTTCCTTCCTTCCCCCTCTCACTCTCTCTCTTTCTTTCTTTCTCCTTCCTTCCTTCTCTCTTTCTTTCTCTCTCTCTCTCTCTTTCTTTCTTTCTTTCTTTCTTTCGACAGGGTCTTCCTGTAGCCCCAGCTGGCCTACAACTGACTATCTCTCACAGAGATCCACCCTGCCCCTGCCTCATGAGTGCTAGGATTAAAGGCACATACTATCATGCCTGGCTAAAAATATGTTCTTATAACTTCACTTTTGCTCCAGTTGCCTTTGTTTTGCTTGTTTTGGACCTCATCCTCAAACTACCACATCAATCTGAAACTTAAGGTCTTAGACCTTTTGCTACAAAACCAAAAACGGTGTAGTATGGTCTTATTTCAGAGTAACAGGAGATAAAAGAAACAGAAGGCTGAAGAAGCTAACAAATACCACACAGTTCGGAAAATCGGGTTCTGTTAGCTGACTGACAAGCCTCTGTATATTTTGCTGTCACATTTGACTGCCTGCTCACTGACTTCCACTTCCTGAAACAGTGTCTTTAGAATACTTTCAGTAGAAAGGATAAAAAGAAACTCAGTCTTCCCTCCAGTTCCAAGGGATCCACCCCTTCTTCTGGCCTCAGTGAGCATTGCATGACAGTGGTGCATTTACATACATGCAGGCAAAACACTCATACACACAAAATAAGAAATTAAAAAATTAAAATAAAAAACACCAAAGAGAGAGTATTTACTAAGTTAAATAGCATGCAAAAAAAAAAAAAATGAATGTCCTTCCTCTACTTTAGATAAAATGTGACGTCAAAAAAAACCCTGAAATCAGGAGCACTTTCCAGGTGCTGAGAAAGTCTAAGGGGATGGGGGAGGGAAGGTCATACAAGGAACCTAGGGGATTGAGGGAAAGAAGGAGCTCAAGAGAGGTGGGACCATAGGAGAAGGGTATTATTAAAGGAGAAATGGGAAAAACGGGGGCACCTTAAATGGGGAAACCATGGTGGAAGGGTTAGAC